CAATTTTCAGAATTAAACTTACTACCTATGGATTCACTCTTTCTAGATACTTCTACTAAATTAATATAGGAGATAATATAATCAATATTTCTTTAGTAATAAATTAAGATATATATTAATGAATATACTTAAATTATGGATATAATATACTTAAATGACTTACTTAATATACTTGTTTAAGTATAATGAATATGCTTAAATTTAATAAAGAACAAAACCTAATTTCCAACATTCATTTATGATAATCTAATAGACATACATAACGGGCAATATTAAAAAAAAAAAAAAAAAAAAAGAAAAAAAAAAGAAAAAAAAACTCTAATTACACAGTTTTTGGAAGAATAGATACCAAACGACAAGTAATAAAACTGCAATTTGCAATCAATAAAAAAATATTACTGTTTTTCAATATTACACAGTTAAGTATGGCATAATTATAAATTGCAATATTTCATAGTAATGCTAATGTTTCCTTAACACTATTTTTTCGATCATATGCTCAAAGTGTGAGCACCAACCTGTATAATGAACACAATAATCAATTAATATGAATGATATACGATATAGCACTTAGGACGTTATAACCGAATCCGTGTATCCAAATATTGCACTGCTGGAGCAACTGAAGATTGGGCAAACACAATACAGTCAAAAGTCGTTAATTCGAACACCCATAATCCGGAATAATCTATAATCCGGACCTCAAAGCTACAAACTTTCTGCGCATGCGTCGCGTTGATAGCCTTTAGATCATAATTGTTCTTTATTTCATAAATTACGGTTTCATATTTTTAATTTTGTAATTTCTGCATGCCATCTTACCAGATTTAAACTGATGATCTATAATAATGATAATAACGCATGCGCATAGGCATTTACGCGTGCGCGTAAGACCTTTACGGCTGCGAATATGCGTGTGCGCATGCGCATAATATGTTTACGCATACGCTTTTAATGTATAACGGACGATATGTTAATGTATAACGGACTTCCATTTCTTCCATTTTGGGTCATGTTAAAAGTTTTGTTATTCTGATAATGGAAAAAAATATTTTTTTTTTCTTTTTAGTGCAGTTACATATATTAATAAATTGTAATTTTTTAAAAAGATTTTTTTAAATTTTTATTTTCATCAATTTAATAATGATAATAGTTTTGTACTGGTGGCTTTAGAAAAAAGTGTATTTGGAATATTTTTATAGGCAACCCAATTAATATGGCTTCCAAAAAAAAGCAAAGAAAAAACGGAAGATGAGCACCGCGAATTTAAAGTTGAGTGGACCGAAAATTTTGCGTTTAATTCAAAACTTGAATGGACTTCCGACATGTCTTATTTGTAAGGAGAAATTCGTGCGTAACAAGAAGTCAAATTTAGAGAGACACTTTACTAGAAAGCACACGTCATTTAGCACTAAATATCCTACCGTTGATGCAGGAGAAAGCATTGAGGAACTCAGAAGAGTCGAGAGTCGTCGAGTTCTGTGTTTAATAACTGGATGCAATCTTCCAGCAATATTAATGCGGCAAGTTTTGTTTGTAGCCAAAAGAGGAAAACCGTACACAGACGGCGAATACATAAAAAATTGTTTTATAAATGCATCCGAAGAGCTATTTCGGGATTTTAAGAACAAAGCAGATATTCGGAAAAGAATTAAAGAGTTACCATTGTCTGCCAAAACCATTAAAGATAGAACAATTAAAATGTGTTCGAATATAACCACCCAGCATATCGAAGATCTGAAATTGGTTTCCGCTTTATCAATAGCAGTTGACGAGTCTTGTGACATAAATGATATAGACAAGTTTCACTTTTTGAAAGATTTAGTCTCATTCAGCCTAAAGAACTTTTAGGATTATTGCCACTCAAAGATCAGACCGTGGAGAAGATATCGCCAATGTAATTGATTGTATGGATAAACACCATATTCCCTTCGATAAATTGTGTCGATTTCAACAAATAGGGCCAAAAGTATGACCGGCATAAGAAAAGGGTTGTTGCTATTTTTGAAAGAAAAATTAATCACGAGATACTTGTTTACCATTGTATCATTCACCAAGAACCGCTTTGTGCGCAAACATTTCCGGAAGAAATTTGTAAACTTATGAAATTAGTGATTACCATTATCAACTCCATTTAGCTAAAGCTCTTAACATCGCCAATTCAAAGAATTTTTATTTGAAATGGGAGAGTGAGTAGCTGATCATCTGCTTCATAACAAGGTACGTTGGTTATCAAGAGGGAACGTTTTAAAACGTTTCGCGTCTCTTTTTCCGGAAATTAAAGCATTTCACCTTGAGAAGGGCGTTCACTATCCAGAACTAATAGACGATCAATGGATCCAAAACTTTTATTTCATGGTAGACGTTACGTCTCTTAATCGTAAACTACAAGCGAAAGGAAACTTAATTTTTTCGATGTTAGAAGAAGTAATAACATTTGAAAACAAATTATCCATTTTTGCACAGGATTTTGAAAGGGAAACATTGTTTCACTTTCCGAGCCTGCTGAAGCATCGCCAAGAAAATAATTCCTCTGTTGATAAACACCATTTTAAAACACGAATTTTAAATATGAGGGAAGCATTTCTCAGCAGGTTTTCAGGAATTTAAAAACGCAGAGCAACTTTAGCATTTGTCAAAATCATCTTAATGCTACGATAACCGAGTTGAAATTTTCTCCTTTTGAAATTGACACTGGTAGCTTTGAAATACAATTGCTGGATTTAAAAAACAACGAGATATGGCGCTCTAAATTCGAACGTCTTTGTGTTGAATTGGAAAAACTGAAGAAGAAAAAATGTGATCCTAGTTCACAACACAAATGGTCTGCTTTTAATGATCTGGAGAAGGAAGACATGATCATTTTCAACGCTTGGAAGAGTATTCCTGACTCTTACGATCAGCTGAAAAAGCTCGCGTTTGCTGTTCTTTCCCTTTTCGGTTCTACATATATATGCGAACAATCTTTCTCAAGCACGAACATTATCAAGAATAAACTGAGAAGTCATCTTATTGATAAGAACTTGAAATCATGAATCATGCCTAAAATTAAAAACAACAACATACAAACCTTACTTACTCAAACTTTCCAAGGAGATGCAAGCACATTGTTCGCATTAATAAATATTTATTAAGTATTAATTTAGTTTTATTTAATGTAATAAAAGTTTACTAAACAAGCAGATTTGGCTCCCAATTTTTTTTTCAAATTGTTCTAATGTTCATATTTGGCTAATAAGTTTGCCGACCACTGGCCTAGAAGAACTATTTCAGCTGAATAGAATTACGAACAATGTTCACTAGGTTATATTTGAAATTAAAAATAAATAAATAAATAAAAATAATGGAAAAAATTTTGAAAAAAACTTATCGGGCTCGCTAAAACATTTGTAATGTCAATGTCGCCAAATCCCGAGTGTACCGTAATACTAGGATTAAACCAAGCATTTTTGAATGCACGGGAAAAACGTAAAAACATAACAAACAGTTCATCAGAATTTTTATAGGTAATGAATTTCGCATTTTTGTTCACAGTTTCTGTAATTCTGATGTCAACATTTATTAGTAATTTATCATATCTATTAATTTTGTCGTTTTCCATTAAAATTGTTTTCCGTCATATATATTGGACAGACGTTAAAAATGCATGGATATGCATCGTCTTTTAACACTGGACGCTGCCTACCAGCGGCCGAGCGGTAAAAGCCGCTGAATACTGGTAGTTCGGTCCGGGATTCGAGTGCATGGGCTAGCTGCATGGGCGTTTTCGTGTTTTTCCCCATGTGTAACTTGGACACGAGCCACTTTTCCTTAAAAATCCCTCCGTTTCCGTGAAGCGCCTAAAAGCGGAGCACGTAATAAGAAGAAGGGGGGAAAAAATTGGACGTTTTCTCGGAATTCTTAAAATCGCCCCATTTTTATCCGTTTATACATCTTCGTGAAAATTGTACATTTTGCTCTGTATGCGGTAAAATGTTTCATATTATGTCAGCATATTAATTCAAATAAATTTGTCCTTACTTCAAAAATAATAAATAAAGTCATGTTTTAGCAGTGAAATAATTGCTAACATTTGAATTGAATTGATTTCAGAAATATAATTTTTTTTAATATATAAAATGCATAACTACTTATAGAACATAAAATGTATAATTACTTATAGAACATAAAATGCAACTTACTTTATAGATTAGTTTCATTTTAAAATATTTTTGCTATAATATTTATAAAAAAATATTTAAGTATTAATTATTTTTCAAACTTTTAAACAATAATTTTAGCACGTAATTTTAGTACTAATTAAATTTAATAAATTTATAGTATTTTATAGTAAATTTATATTTCATTACATGAATCTACCGTAGATTAATAATATTCAGATGAAATAAAATAATGAAACATTGCAAAATAAATCTTATGCGGGCTTCAGATTCTTGAAAGGGCAGATTTAGTCTCTTTTCATTCTAAAAGTAACGCTGATGAACTATGAAAAAGATGCTAACACGAGCACTTCTAAAAAGCGATCATATCATGACGTTTAAGCGACGTCGACAAATTGCCAAGATGCAACGGCAAATATTTTGCGTCTTCGCAACGTTGTAAAGACGTCGTAAAAGTTACCACGACCACTTTGCAAACTCTGGGACCAGTTTGCAACGTCGTGTGCTACTTGGGATATCTACGATTGGCTGAAAACAAGATTAAATTAAATATTTATTTATTCACTATATATAGTTAATCAGCTAAAGAATCTACATATAACAAAATCTACAAATCAAAGACATGACTTAATACGCCATCCACGTCTAACATTTAACTTCTAACTCCTTTCTACCTCAGGTGGGGGGGGGGCTCTTATCGTGTTATGACATCACATTTCGCTACACATCTAAAATACTGTTTTGAGCGAAAATAACGTCTATCATTAGTTTTTCTAAGTATACTTCATATAAAGAATAAGTTCAGGTTTTAAAATTTAAATTATTTTTGTGTCATTTCAGCGCTGCCTTCCCTCCCGAGTTAAAAGTATACATATGGTTAATGTACCGAGTTTTTTCAATATTTTCTACAATTTGATAAAAATCTTGCTTCCACAAAAGATCTTAAAAAGGGTAAGTAGTTTTACTCCTTGCAGTTTTTTGTAACACTGAAATTTGTAATGAGGTTAACTAATTATTTAAGGTTTACCTCTTTAAATAATTATATGTTGATGCATGCAATTAAGTTACGTAGAATCTCTAAGTACAGTAATCTGTAGTATGCTTAAAAGAAATATATACTGTTAGATGCGTAAAATACTATTACGTGCGTAAAGAAATATATACTGTTACGTGCATAATATTCGTAATGTGTTGAATGCACACAGAACCGATGATAGCCTGATAAAATTTATTTTCCCAAAAGAAACATTGTACAGTTCTGAACTTTTCACAAAAGTACTCGATCCTAGAGGCTACTGACTTCTCCCCTTTTTTCTTTCAATATTCATTCTTCCGAAGATCGGTTTCTTATTACAAAGGAAAAGAAATGATATGCAGAAAGCTGCGTTTATTTTATTATTTCTAACTGCACTTACAGTAACGAAACCTTTTATGATAATTAACAATATTTATTGTAAATGAAAATTTACATTCGTTGTCGTTTACAGAAACTTGAAAAACAGAAACTGAAAATATGCAAGTTTTAAATAAGTATTTTAATAAATATTACTGTACTTTTTTCTTCTAAATTGTAAATAATCAATTTCTAATTACATTAATAAATATTTTAGAAATCTTAAATTAAAACTTAACTCCATAAAATTTCATAGGCAGTATACTTTATGAGCAAAATTCAAGTACTTTGTTGTATATAACGAAGCCTTTCAAGATCTTAAAGGAGGTTTCACTGAGGATTAGTTACTGCAAAGGCCCTATTTTCGCGAAAATGAATATATCGGTGATTTCGTGAGTTGAATATTTCGCGAATTTTATATGAAAAGAATCGAAAGTTGAAAAATTTCAAAAGTACCTAAGTAAAGTTCGAAGTTGAAAAATTCCAAAAGTGCATCTTTTGCATAAAGCATTTTAAGAAACTTCCTTTTGTCCGAAAGGTTCGTCCCATACCCGTTCCCGTCTAAATGGCGAGTTTCAAGCGTTTGCTCAAGAATGAGTTTTGTTGAGTGGTATTCTAATGAGCTTCAATTTCTAGAGGAAAAAGAATCTGTGGACTTGGCGAATATGACGATAAAACCAATTCACGCTTCTTAACTTGTGCGCATATTTAACGGTATTGAAGCCAAACATGATCTAATTTTGAATAGCTTCAAAGAAGCTGGTATGAATAGTATTTGAAGTGAATGAGCTGCCTTCTATTAATTTTATTGTTTTATATTCGAGAAATATAGTTGTATATTATTCAAAAAATAGTTATAAGAAAGAAAGTTGTCAAGAAAAAGGTTGTAACTGTGTAATAAATCATTAAATTTTGGGTAAAGGAAAAATTTCTGATTTTTTATTATTATTTGAGACGGGGGGAAAAAAAAAAAAAAAGTATTTCGCGAGGCTTAAATTTTCGCGATTACGACGGGCTTGCGAAAATAAGGGCCTTTACAGTATTCAAATACGGAAAAGCGATAAGGGCCATACGCCAAAGAGAAGAGGTGCCTTAATGGGGACTTTCTTAGGAGAAACAGGCTCGTATTCACGTTGCACAAGGGAAAAACCACGAAAACCAATCATGCAATTGGCCCATTTGCCTGGGATCGAACCCAGACCAGGTTGAACTACAAGTATTCATCAGTGTTAACCATTCGACCACTTGTAAGGCTCGGTTTCACTGAAGATTGTAAAGAAAAATGTAATTATATTTATATTACACATAACCGCTGTCCAGTTAACTTTGGCATTATTACATAGAAAGCTTAAAAACGTTTATCGATAAATTCAAAATTAGCGTTTAATTTCTATTTTGTAAGAAATCTGTAGAATATTAGTGAAGTTTTTTCCAAAAGTTTTTCCAAAATGAAACTTTTATCTGGGTATAACAAAGAAGTGCTCATAAGTTCATCAAAATCAGTTATCTTCGGTTCTTTTATTTTACCAACAATTAGATTACGTGTTTACAAGAGAAAACTCTAGGATTACCTGCCACAGGAAAGGTGTTTCTGGGGACAAATGTTTAACGGAAACCGAAGCGTATTCATATCACACACATGGAGGAGGGGGGGGAACAGAGTTTATCCTCTTTAGCTATTCACTTATTATTATCAGCAGGACTTCAGTCGGATTAATATTTTGTTAAATTATTTCATCAAATTAGTATTTGGAGACCCTTTCTCAGCAGAAGTACTCAGTGAAGAGTACTTATAAACTGCAAGCCCCCGTGTCCAGTAAATATTTGACTGTAATCAAAATCACATATCATTTTCATATTTTTTAAAACTTCAAAGCTCAACAAATAATCTTTCCTTTTTCCCGAAACGTTCCATTTTTCTTTCCAGTAATCATAATAGAAATCCTTGATTTTACCAGTAACAATTCTTTTTGATGCCTGAATATCGAATGCCGGGGTTGCGTTCTTCACAGCAAAGCTCTAAGTATAGCTCTTGATTCGGCCGATCGCTTTCGAGCTGATTTTTGAACTCAAGACACTAATACTGAACTCAATTTACTGTCAAGATAGAGATCGGCAAAACCACTCCTTTAAGGGAGTAGATGAGAACCGCTCACTGAAGTGAATCAATTGTTTTTAACGATTCATCAAGGTCATTAGCAATGACCTCGATGAACGAGTTCGGAACAGGCGAGTGGTGCGCAAAGATGTGGAAAAGCAGAAAGAACTGAACAAGGAATCAACACAACCAAACTGCTCCCTCCCTGGACTGATTTCTTTCAACTGTACTTTCGAGACTCCCTCAAAAAAACCTTTCTACATATAACAACAATAAAATTCTGATAAAAAATTGCTACAAGTTAAAAAATAATGAAAGGTAAATCCACTGTTGTTAAAGATTACATTATTTAATTACTATAATTGATATTTTGTTGGTACTGCAAAGCAAATTTAATCTAAAAAATAAATGATGCAGATCCCGAAGAACCGATTTTCTAATTTGTAAAAATGATACTAAATATCGCTCGAGGTCCTTTTATATGGTAGGATCCGTATTTTGTTCTGCAACGTTAAAAATACAATGGATGGAAAAATTTATGTTTATAAATATATACTAATTCTAAAGAAGATTAAAGAGAAATTTACAGCTCACGATTACAAGACGTTAGTAAAATAAGTAAATAAATAAAAACATAATTTATTATTTTACATAAATATTACAGAATATTGTATAAAAAAGGTAATTCCCAATATACATAGCTATACTGTCGTAGTATAGCTATGTATATTAGGAAAGGTATTCACAGTATTCAGAAGCGCCGTTCACACTGGGACATATCGGAGCTAACGAACACATCCGTCGCAACCAACACAGCCGATCAGCTAGAAAAAAAAAATCAGTTATTTTTGTCACTACGGGCCCAGTTGAAAAATCTGAACTTCACGCAAAACGGAGGTAGTCGACACATGGAACCGACCAATCAGGAGAGTATTTCAAATCAGCAGCAGCAGCGTGAAGCGCGCTAAATTCAATAAACAACATGGCTGACGACATGAGCAAAGATTGTAGTCTAATTGCCAAAATCCAGCGACATTCCGTTATATGGGATAATCGACTTAAAGACTATAAAAATAAAATTAAAAAAAAAGAATGCGCTTGGATGATGATTGCGGTCGTTTCCATCGGAATGGTAAGTAATTTTCTTTTCTTTACATTTTTGTGTTTAGATTTTGAATCCGGAGTATTAATTGAATTACTGATATCAATGATCTCAGATAATATATCTAATTGTATTATAAAGTTCGCAATGGAATTAAAAGTAGTGAAAGCAAAGCATAGACAAAAGCGTTAATGTAATATTTTTCTTTCTTCTGAACTTTTCTCATCATAAAAAGAAGCGTATTGTTTATTGCCTCATATAATAAAATGAATCACATTAACTTTATAAACTCGCGCATTCCCTAATCATTTGGAATGAAAATACTGATAATAATAATTAAATAATAACAATAAAACATGTTTCTATTTTTCAAAATAATTTTACATGATTTGGAACCTGTATACTTAATGACCAAATTTTGAACAAAAGGAAAGTATAACCCCTTGCCATACTTAATTGGTCAACCCAGAAAAGAATAATGGTTATTATATAATACAGATATTTAGCATTCACATTTTTTTTCAAGTAATGACAATTATCTTGCTCAATATTTTATCAATATTTTAACTTTTACTTCTTTGAACTAAGTTTGAAAATCTGTACCTAATTGCGTTCCAGTTAATGAACGGACGGAGGTGTTTCCCCCCAGACAACCATGAATATCTGACTATATAGATCCACCACAAACAACGGAACGGACTAGACAGTACAGTATGATTCCTGCCGAGCCTGAACCAGCCATCGCTAGCGATGACTCTAGTCCTGTGAAGACTGATTTTATACCCTTGCGGCCGTCGAGACTACCTAGTTACAGATTATAACTAGTAGCGTCTCATGTTTTACCTGAGTCGACCCCCCCCCGGGGGCGTTCAAATAAGACAGTGCACCAGAAAGAAGGGGCATCCAGACCTGCATGCATAATGCAGCCTTTACACGGTTAAATCGCCCCAGTGCCTGGAGGCTATCTGAGGAGGCACCATCCCCCAGTCTACGCAGTTATGTTGTTAAATGTTTGACGTAAAATAGTGAGACATGTAAAATAGTTAGACATCGACCGGCCCCCAAGTTTTGACCAAAGGCAGCCCATTCCCCAAAGGTAACCTGCGATACCTGACCATATAACGCTCCCACAACCAAGGGGCAGACAAGACAGTACCAGTACGGTCCTTACCGAGCCTGAACCTGCCACCGAATAAACGAAGGTTCTAGTCACTGTGAAGACAGTTTATTTTCCTCATAATTCGAAGCTGTCTAGGTAGTGATCTAGCCAGTACGCTGGGATTGCCAGTCCCAGTCGACCCCCAGGAGTGGTCATCAGAACACAGTTAGCCCAGGCGAATCTGGTTACCAGCGTGGCC